AGCTCAACTTCCATTTCCCCAGTACTAAAAAAATCTAAAATTTTCATTTCCCTCAAGAAAAATTTCAACCATACATGCACCCTAAATATAATAATTGCAAATATGTTTCTATACTCCCCCTGCAAGGAACAAATATATATTCCGTCATCAATAACGAAGAAAACATGATTTTATGGAATATTATGAACAAAGCAAATGAAGGAGAGCTCGTATAATAAGGCTGCGTTCATGCTTAAATTTTGAAGGCAGAATGAGCGATCTGAAACGCTCATCGTAAACGCTCATCGTGATCGCAGTTCCACGATGTAGTGTTCATGCTTACTTCTCTGGCTCCCCAGGCAATTCTCCGTGTGTGGCCTTAATTGGTCTTCCAGCTGGATTCGCAAACCTTCACTGTGCATGCTACGTAGACCCACTAGAGGTCAGTGCGTTGACCCCATTTAAACGCGTTTACAAATTGTAAACGCATCTTTTTGTGAGTTTACGATCGGCGATCGTGATCGCCGTTTTTCGGTGATTCTACAAAAGTGAGCTAAGACGCAACCGTGTTTTAAACTAAACGCGTAACAGATGCCTGATTCTGGCCGTCAAAATCAAGCATGAACGCGCCCAAAGTCACAGAGTTGCCAATTTGTATTTGATTGATCACAACTTCAATAATTCATAACTTTCTTATTTTCATTCAGAATTTGCTCAAACTTTCACTCACCTGATTTTCTTATTATTCTGCCTCTATCGACACAAACTTATTTTGGGGGCGGACTTTCCCTTTAATATGACTCTATGCTTTGCTGTAGGCCTAGTGTGCAGTAGACATATGTCGTGCACACAAAGCTGCATTACTATCCTGGCTGTGTATTAAAAGATTCTCAACATTAATTTCAAACACCACTGTACAAAACTCAACTAATTTCACTAAAAATAGGCACTATGCTCTTTAGTGACACCTAAATAACAGTAAAATACAACTTTTTAACTTACCGATGTTAAAAAGAATAATTTAAACATTGTCATTGTAAGTCTAGACTCTGTCAAACTTGCCGATCAGCCACATCGTGTTCATTGTTTTTGCGTGCATCTGTGTTTTGTGTAGACCTAGATCTATGTATTGACTATTCGTGTGTGCCAATTATTAGCACGTTTGCAGCGCTAGAGTCTAGATGTCGTGCAGATTTTTAGATAATTTAGTTGTACAAGTCTGCATGGTACGAATCTTAGGATTAAATCATGCTTACAGTTACAGAATTCAGATCTTCGAGTTAACTCACCTGAATGAAGAAATAATGGGCTATTTGAAGCGATGATGATGAACGGTGTGGCCGTGTTGAGATTAGCAGTAGTCTGCCCGTCGCGCGCGTGGCATGCATGATGTTTACTTCGAGAGCCCAGGGTTCAGGTCATAGGTCAGCCATTTAATTATCGTTTGTTGTGTGATCCAGCAGGTCTTTATCTCTTAACAACACCATCCAGTTGTTAGAGGAAGAGAATCTAGCGCTCTTAATAATTAAAGACTATGTACTGTGTTGAGAATGCATGATTTTGGTGGCAATTAAAGTGATGAATGCACCCCCCTTTCTCTCATGCACGTGCATGCATATTCTTACGGCCCCTTTCTCCTATATATCTATTTAATTCCTCTTATATTTTCTTACCATCGTTGTTGTTATTAACCATGAACCACCCTCCCCCCCCCCCCCCTATTCCGTCACATTATGCATCCGAATATGCATTTTCGATTTGAGCGATTTTTAAATATTTTTTTTACTGCCCTGGTCGAAATTCCAATAGGATCCGATGGCCTATTGGACCATCAGAAACCATTAGAGCTATAATTGGTGTCTATTGGTTTCAATAGGGAAAGTGAAATATTGGACCCACAGAAACCAATAGAAAATATCTATTGGACCAACACCAACCCACAGACAAAAATGCTGATGGACCATTAACAGAATAAAACTTCTATTGCATGGACCAACATATGGGTTTCTGTTGGTCAATTAGATATTTTTTATAGCCGGGTGTTCCTGTTGGTCCATTAGAGATCTTTCTATGGGTTTCTAATAGTCGCATATTCTGAATTCCCTATTGAAACCAATAGGCCTATCGGGTTTTAATGGTTCAATAGTCCATTGGTTTCTATTGGTAAATCAATTGGCAAATTGGCAAATCAATCGATTTTAGCAACTGTCCACCAATCCACCTAAAAAGGGTTATTCTAATCTCAACTGCATTAACTCACCGAAAGATCACTTGAAGTGAGTTTAAGAATATCCTTTATTTAACCAGGGAGGTATAAGTGACACATCCCTGATTTAACTAAAGGATTGTACTACTCTATATAATAAACATACATGATGTTTCTTGGTTATAGTAATCATTATAATCAATATATCTATCTCAAACGTATTATTGTAACATGAACAGACAAATAATCTATTGATCATTAATTGCCGAAAGAAAATAAAAATCAAGCTCTGATCAAGGGCACAAAAGTGTTACAATTATGAGGTGAATTTTAAAAGTCAATTATAGACTGTGGCAACATTATTTTTGTAATCTGCAAGCATTATGCAACACATAGCTAAAAAATCAGACCTTAACAAATTGCCGTTAGACGGCAATCAGTAGCCAAATATCACATCATCAAAAATGTTACGTACATAACTCGGTGTCCACTTCATGCTGATATTTCTCTTATGATTTAATATTTTTTCTGACAAAGTACATTAGATGTTAAAACATACCTTAAACAAAACTTAAAACCATTGCCATATCAACTTTTTACAATTTAGTTATTAGAATATGACCAAAGCAAATGTGGGGGGGGGGGGGGGGGGGGGGGGGGGGTAGAGGACACATTTTTTTTTTTTTTTGGTCCAAAAAAATCGCAACGACTCAGCCGACCGCTGAATAAGCGGGGGGGGGGGGGGGGGGGGGGGGGGGGGGGGGGGGGCGGGTAAGAGGACACTTTTTTTTTTTTTTTTGGTCTCGAAATTTGGAAATTTGACATTTTGCTCTGTTGGGGGGGGGGTAAGGTCACCTTTTTTAGGTCGGCCATGGGAATAATTTTTTTTTTTTTTTTTTTTAATTTAATAAAAAAAAAAAAAAAAAAAAAAAAAAAAAAAATCCAAAAGGGGGGGGGGGGGGGGGGTTTTAGGTTTTTTTTTAGGGGGGTTTACACACAAAAAATTTCCAAAGGGGGGGGGTTTAACCCCCAAAACCCCCCCCCCATATCACACAAATTGTATCACGTGTAAATGGAATAAGAAAGTAAAAATATATTAATAGGAATTAACTCAACAGAAATGTTAATTATTACATAGATTCTACATCAAGATTTAAACAAATCACAAGTTTTGCATCCCATTAGTAAAAAATATGGTAACCAATTAGTGCATGTTTTGAATGCAACATTAAAAGTGCTGACAATAGTCCTTTTTCATCATAAAATTGCTCTAAAGTCTTTATTTTGAACTCAATGAAGCTGAAAACTTGTTTGGAGCTTCCACCAATGGTACTTTCTAATATAAAAATGCTAATTTGTGTCTGGGTCTCATGGTTTTGGATAATTGAACAATTTCCAAGTGTTCAATCTAAGTGTACCCTTGATCTGAGCCATACACATATTATGTGCATTGTCATACGTTACTTAACAAATATTATTATGATAAATGCATTTTCTGTGAAAACGTGTAAAGTAATCATGAAAATGCATGAGATAGATTTAACTGTTAATAATAATAATAATAATAATAATAAATTGATATAGCGCAGCTTTTATACAAAATATATTCAGCTGCGCTGGTTAAGAGCTCCTTTTTACTAAATTCTACAAAATAAGATCTCTCAATTGAACAAATAAGTTTTTTAATTGAATTTGAAAACATTGAGAGATGGAGTGCTTCGTATTTCTATTGGCAAGCTATTCCATAGTTTGGGGGCAGCAATATCATCAAGGCACGGTATACCCGAGAGTTACTTTAGTTTTGCCATGGGGAATCTGAAACAATAATTTATCTGTGGAACTGCGCAGCTGTTGGTTTCTATGGTTTCTATGTTTCTTAATTCTATTGGTCATATTGGTTTCTATTGGTCCTATTGATCCTTTCGGTCCATTGGTTTCTATTGGTCGTATTGGTTTCTATGGCTATATTGGTTTATATTGATCCTATCGGTCCTATTGGTTTCTATTGGTCTTATTGTTTTCTATTGGTCCTATTGGTTTCTATTGGTCATATTGGTTTCTATTTCTATTGGGTGCTATTGGTTTCTATTGGATTATGATGGTTTGAATGGTCTCTATTGGATTCAATTATATGGGTCCAACAGAAACCAATATAATTTTTCTAATGGTCTCTATTGGTCTCTATGAGATTTTCTTTAAGGGGGGGGGGGGGGCCTCTCCATCCCGCCCAGTCCCAATGCTCCACCTATAGCTGATAGACCTAGCTGGGACCCGAATTAAAAAGAGTTGTTTGCAGTCTATATACAGTGCGAGTCAACAAAAAAGTTTACACCTTAATCATCTATGGACAGTAAATTATTATACATCTTATAAAAGAGTGTTTCATCCCAAATCATTTGGTATCATTTTTGTGTGGTATGTGTTCACGCTTGGATGAACAGGAGGAATTGTTTGAAAAATCGCACCCCCCCCCCCCCCCCCCATGAGCGCGAGGGGGGGGGGGGGGAACCCATCTCCAAAAAAAGGTTAAATTAACGTGTTTTTACACGTTTTTTCCCCAGGGCCGAGGGGGAGGGGGTAAGCCCTTAACCCCCCCCCTCCCTACCCCCGTAGATCAATTCACCCCGGCTCCCTCACGCTTCCGACTCTTGTGTGCCTATCTCTCTCTCTCTCCCTCCCTCTCCTTCACCCTTCCTTCTTTACTCATGGCCACAAGTCATGTTCTACAATGTCACTTCTTTTTTTCATTTCCAGGAACGTTTTATTATAATAATTGAGCCTTTGTTCCAGTGACAAAACAAGCAAACACATTAACTTGATGTTAATCAAATTTAATAAAAGTCGTCTTCAAAAACAACTGGTGAACATTCAATGAATCTTCAATATGAAAAACAGCACATAAAAAACATAAGTTAAACATTTCAATAACCAACACAAATTTTTAACATTTCAATAACCAACACAAATTCGTGGCCGCGTTCTACTATAACATTTCTATTAGATTTAAGTTTTAAACTAATTTTGGGGACGGAAAGCAGTTCAAATAAAAAACAAATCTTTAAATGCGAATAATTCAAAAAGTAGTTTCGTTCTGCCAGCTGGGCGACGAGTTAAACATTTTATTTGTCATAACTCTAGCAAACACATTAACTTGATGTTCATCAAATTTAATGAAAGTCGTCTTCAAAAACAACTAGTGAACATTCAATGAATCTTCAATATGAAAAACAGCACATAAAAAACATCAGTTAAACATTTCAATAACCAACACAAATTTTTAACATTTCAATAACCAACACAAATTCGTGGCCGCGTTCTACTATAACATTTCTATAAGATTTAAGTTTTAAACTAATTTTGGGGACGGAAAGCAGTTCAAATAAAAAACAAATCTTTAAATGCGAATAATTCAAAAAGTAGTTTCGTTCTGCCAGCTGGGCGACGAGTTAAACATTTTATTTGTCATAAAACTCTCTCAAACACTATGGATATCTTTATTGACCTTGAACGTGAAAGTCAAAACTATCTCCCTCAAACACTATGGATATCTGTTTATTGACCTTTTAACGTGAAAGTCAAAACTATCTCCCTCAAACACTATGGATATCTGTTTATTGACCTTTGAACGTGAATGTCAAAACTATCTCCCTCAAACGCTATGGATATCTGTTTATTGACCTTTGAACGTGAAAGTCAAAACTATCTCCCTCAAACACTATGGATATCTGTATTGACCTTTGAACGTGAATGTCAAAACTATCTCCCTCAAACGATCTGTATTGACCTTTGAACGTGAAAGTCAAAACTATCTCCCTCACACGCTATGGATATCTGTTTATTGACCTTTGAACGTGAAAGTCAAAACTATCTCCCTCAAACACTATGGATATCTGTTTATTGACCTTTGAACGTGAATGTCAAAACTATCTCCCTCAAACGCTATGGATATCTGTTTATTGACCTTTGAACGTGAAAGTCAAAACTATCTCCCTCAAACACTATGGATATCTGTATTGACCTTTGAACGTGAAAGTCAAAACTATCTCCCTCACACGCTATGGATATCTGTTTATTGACCTTTGAACGTGAATGTCAAAACTATCTCCCTCAAACACTATGGATATCTGTTTATTGACAAGAAAAATCAAACGTAAAACTGCTACAAGAAAAAAACAAGCGTCAAAACTATCTCCCTCAAACACTATGGATATCCGTTTATTGACAAGAAAAAAAAAAAAACATGAAACTGCTACAAGATAAAAACCCAAACATAAAAATGCTACAAGAGAAAACCCAGCGTAAAACTGCTGCAAGAGAAAACCAAACGTAAAACTGCTACAAATGAAAACCCAGGTTAAAACGTCTACAAGAAAAAAACAAGGGTAAAACTGATACAAGAGAAAACTAAGTGGCTTCTCATCTGTATGGATTCGTTAATGCTTCTTGAGATCACTAGCTTGATTACATGCCTTACCACATACATAGGGTTTCTCACCTGTATGAATGCACTTATGTTTCTTGAGATCACTAGCTTGATTACATGCCTTACCACACTGATCACATACATAGGGTTTCTCACCTGTATGGATGCGTTTATGTTTTGTGAGATAGCCAGCTTGATTAAATGCCTTACCACATTGATCACATACATAGGGCTTCTCACCTGTATGGATGCGTTTATGTCTTGTGAGATCACCAGCTTGATTAAATGCCTTACCACATTGATCACATACATGGGGCTTCTCACCTGTATTGATGCGTTTATGTGTTGTGTGATTACCAGCTTGATTACATGCCTTACCACATACATAGGGCTTCTCACCTGTATGGATGCGTTTATGTTTTGTGAGATAGCCAGCTTGATTAAATGCCTTACCACATTGATCACATACATAGGGTTTCTCACCCGTATGGATGCGTTTATGTTTTGTGAGATTACCGGCTTGATTAAATGCATTACCACATTGATCACATACATGGGGCTTCTCACCTGTATGGATGCGTTCATGTTTTGTGAGATCACTAGCTTGATTAAATGCCTTACCACATTGATGACATACATAGGGCTTCTCACCTGTGTGGATGCGTTTATGTTTTGTGAGATGACCCATTTGATTAAATGCCTTACCACATTGATCACATACATAGGGCTTCTCACCTGTATGGATGCGCTTATGTTTTGTGAGATTACTAGCTCGATTAAATGCATTACCACATTGATCACATACATAGGGCTTCTCACCTGTATGGATGCGTTCATGTTTTGTGAGATCACAAGCTTGATTAAATGCCTTACCACATTGATCACATACATAGGGCTTCTCACCTGTATGGATGCGTTTATGTGTTGTGAGATTACCGGTTTGATTAAATGCCTTGCCACATTGATCACATACATAGGGCTTCTCACCTGTATGGATGCGTTCATGTTTTGTGAGATCACCAGCTTGATCGAATGCCTTGCCACATTGATTACATACAAAGGGCTTCTCACCTGTATGGATGCGTTTATGTTTTGTGAGATCACTAGCTTGATTAAATGCCTTACCACATTGATGACATACATAGGGCTTCTCACCTGTATGGATGCGTTTATGTGTTGTGAGATCACTAGCTTGATTAAATGCCTTACCACATTGATCACATACATAGGGCCTCTCACCTGTATGGATGCGTTTATGTTTTGTGAGATCACCAGCTTCATTAAATGCCTTACCACATTGATCACATACATAGGGCTTCTCACGTGTATGGATTCGTTTATGTTTTGTGAGGTTACTTTTTTGATCAAATGCCTTGCCACATTGATCACAAAGATAGGGCTTCTCACCTGTATGGATGCGTTTATGCGTTGTGAGATTACCGGCTCGATTAAATGCCATACCACATTGATCACATACATAGGGCTTCTCACCTGTATGGATGCGTTTATGTTTTGTGAGATAGCGAGCTTGATTAAATGCCATACCACATTGATCACATACATAGGGGTTCTCACCTGTATGGATGCTTTTATGTCTTGTGAGATTACAGGCTTGATTAAATGCCTTACCACATTGATCACATACATAGGGCTTCTCAACTGTGTGGATGCGTTTATGTTTTGTGAGATAGCCAGCTCGATTAAATGCCTTGCCACATTGATCACATACATGGGGCTTCTCACCTGTATGGATTTGGTTATGTTTTGTGAGGTTACTTTTTTGATCAAATGCCTTGCCACATTGATCACATACATAGGGCTTCTCACCTGTATGAATTCGTTTATGTGTTGTGAGAACATATTTTTGATTAAATGCCTTACCACATTGATCACATACATAGGGCTTCTCACCTGTATGGTTGCGTTTATGTTTTGTGAGGTTAATTTTTTGATCAAATGCCTTGCCACATTTATAACATACATAGGGTTTCTCACCTGTATGGATGCGTTTATGTCTTGTGAGATGAATTTTTTGATTAAATGCCTTACCACATTGAACACATACATGGGGCTTCTCACGTGTATGAATGCGTTTATGTTTTGTGAGATCACTAGCTTGATTAAATGCCTTACCACATTGATCACATACATAGGGCTTCTCACCTGTATGGATGCGTTTATGTTTGTGAGATTACTAGCTTCATTAAATGCCTTACCACATTGATCACATACATAGGGCTTCTCACCTGTATGGATGTGTTCATGTTTTGTGAGATCACCAGCTTGATCAAATGCCTTGCCACATTGATCACAAAGATAGGGCTTCTCACCTGTATGGATGCGTTTATGCGTTGTGAGATTACCGGCTCGATTAAATGCCATACCACATTGATCACATACATAGGGCTTCTCACCTGTATGGATGCGTTTATGTTTTGTGAGATAGCGAGCTTGATTAAATGCCATACCACATTGATCACATACATAGGGCTTCTCACCTGTATGGATGCATTTATGTTTTGTGAGATCACCAGCTTGATTAAATGCCTTGCCACATTGATCACATACATGGGGCTTCTCACCTGTATGGATTCGTTTATGTTTTGTGAGGTTACTTTTTTGATCAAATGCCTTACTACATTGATCACATACATAGGGCTTCTCACCTGTATGGATGCGTTTATGTTTTGTGAGATCACTAGCTTGATTAAATGTCTTACCACATTGATCACATACAAAGGGCTTCTCACCTGTATGGAAACGTTTATGTCTTGTGAGATTAGGTTCTCGATTAAATGCCTTACCACATTGATCACATACAAAGGGCTTCTCACCTGTATGGATGCGTTTATGTTTTATGAGATTAGGTTCATGATTAAATGCCTTACCACATTGATCACATACATAGGGCTTCTCACCTGTGTGGATGCGTTCATGTGTTGTGAGATTACTTATTTGATTAAATGCCTTACCACATTGATCACATACATAAGGCTTCTCTCCTGTATGGATGCGTTTATGTTTTATGAGATTAGGTTCATGATTAAATGCCTTACCACATTGATCACATACATAGGGCTTCTCACCTGTGTGGATGCGTTCATGTGTTGTGAGATTACTTATTTGATTAAATGCCTTACCACATTGATCACATACATAAGGCTTCTCTCCTGTATGGATGCGTTTATGTGTTCTGAGATTACCTGCATCATTAAATGCCTTACCACATTGATCACATGCATAGGGCCTCTCACCTGTATGGATGCGTTTATGTGTTGTGAGAGCATCTTCACGATTAAATGCCCTACCACACTGATCACATACAAAGGGCTTCTCACCTGTATGAATGCGCTTATGTTTCTTGAGATCATCAGCTTGATTACATGCCTTACCACACTGATCACATACATAGGGCTTCTCACCTGTATGGATGTGTTTATGGTTTGTGAGATTACTTATTTGATTAAATGCCTTGCCACATTTTTTCCCGTTTTGCATAATTCTTGATTTACTACATCTGATTTCTCCTTTAAAAAACTGTAGAATGTCTTTCTTTGATGCATCTGCCTGTGGGAGGACACCATAGTGTCCATGCTTGTACTTGAGATGCCTTGCTAAAATAAGAGGAGTGGTATAGAGTGATCCACAGTCCCCACATCTATAGAGTTCAGAATCTATTGAGAATGAAAAACAGGTTCACATTGTTATAATTATTTTAATGAAGTCATCTTCATCAGATTCAAAGTTATGTAGTTGTTACATGTGTTTGGATTGAATATAATTTGTTTTGAATGAGGTTGAAAACAACAACAAGAAAACGATAACGTATTTTTATAAACTCTTTCATTTAAAATATCTAAGATCACGATATAACATAGCTTATGACCAGCGTGTATCAATGTTCTATAATCAATGACTGTGCTTGAATATTGTCAACGTCTCAAAGGTATCATAATTATATTATGTTAACTGATTACATGAAACATATCAAAAGGCAAAACATTCTTTGAATTCAACAAAACCAAAAAGGGATTGGTATATGATTTGATGTTACATGGTTCATTAGAATACAAATTTGTTACAGAGCTGTATGCTAACCATCAGGAACATGTTCTTCTTTGCAAGACTTGCGGCTCACTGCTCTCTTCTGGTATCTAGATTGTCTTGGGGAGGGTGGGGGTTTCTCCTTTCTCCTGTCTGAAATAAAAATATGCACAAATTGATTTAGTTTATTCCCAATATATCCTTTTCAAAAAAATGATTTAGACTTTCATCTTATAGTTTATTTTGTTGTTGTTAACATGAATCCGTCTGTCCTATAACTTCACATATCATTTTGTCTGTCATCCCTCTTGACTCCCAATACAAACAAATATTATACACTTCAGTTATTGTGTGATAGCCTGACAACGACTAGACTATATGTCAAGTTTTTTTTCAGTTGTTCCCTTTAGTTTATCTGTTAATGCTATTTCAGTTAATACTGTCAGTGCTTTGGTTGGGGAAGTTGTTACTAGTAATACATGTTACAAGAAACAGTTATTGTCTTTCCAGATCCATTATGGCCCAACCGGCCCCCTCTATCCAGATCCATTATGGCCCACCCAGCCCCCTCTATCCAGATCCATTATGGCCCACCCGGCCCCCTATATCCAGATCCATTATGGCCCACCCGGCCCCCTCTATCCTGATCCATTATGGCCCACCCGGCCCCCTCTATCCAGATCCATTATGGCCCACCCAGCCCCCTATATCCAGATCCATTATGGCCCACCCGTCCCACTCTATCCAGATCAATTATGGCCCACCCAGCCCCCTCTATCCAGATCCATTATGGCCCACCCGGCCCCCTCTATCCAGATCCATTATGGCCCACACGGCCCCCTCTATCCAGATCCATCATGGCCCACCCGGCCCCCTCTATCCAGATCCATTATGGCCCACCCAGCCCCCTCTGTCCAGATCCATTATGGCCCACCCAGCCCCCTCTATCTAGATCCATTATGGCCCACCCGGCCCCCTCTATCCAGATCCATTATGGCCCACCGGCCCCCTCTATCCAGATCCATTATGGCCCACCCGGCCCCCTCTATCCAGATCCATTATGACCCACCCGGCCCCTCTGTCCAGATCCATTATGGCCTACCCGGCCCCCTATATCCAGATCCATTATGGCCCACCCGGCCCCCTCTATCCAGATCCATTATGGCCCACCCGGCCCCCTCTGCCATTTACCTGATTGTTGGGGAACACGTAAGGATTCACAATGCCCTGTCAGTTGGTGACTATTTCATTTTGAGTCTTGCGCATCTTTTAAATCAAATTTTTGTTAATCTGACCTACCGTTACAAAGTCATGTACCGGTAATCTTTTGTCTTGTCAGCTCCAACATAACTATTTTCGTGATTTTTGTACAAACCATGTGGAAATATCATTCACCCATTAAAGAGAAGGTTGAGTTCTGGGAAGAGGTGAAAAATAATTTGTGAGCGTTACTCATTCTTATTATGCAAGTGTGGAAGAACTTCAGATAAGACATGTTCCCTGAAAAGCATGGCTCTTCAAATGCCTTCATATTCTAAATATGCATGTAACATCGTAAAAATCGGGGGGCCTGCTTTTTACGCCACGTGTTCGTGTAGTCCCATATACATCTTTCTGTGAACAGTGTTTGTAACTTTACCAAGAATTGTCCACATTTCTTATCATTTTGATGATTCCAGAACCTTGCAATACACACAAATTCTTATATGCTAGATGATCAACCTTTTCTGGTCGATTCCACACCGTTTCTTTCACAATGCAATCGCATGACCAGAACTCAACTTCATCTTTAAAGAGATAAAACAATGGTTATTTGGTCTTGTTTATAGTTTAGGTGTCTGTTTTGGGGGCCAAAATAGTTGAATTATAGTTAAAAATGAAATAAAACAATAACAAAATACAAGTAAAAAAACAAAGAAAAACAAACTAGACATGTAATACTTGTTTGGAACAAGTATAGGTGGGCTGTTCCAACTTATTTGAGAGAAAATGTAGCAAATATAAGCCAGATACTGTTAAAAAAAAAAGTTAAATAGATTCATGATGTGATCGAAATTCATCTTCCATAGGCATGACATGCAAAATAAGAAATTTCTGACATGTGGCCTTTAATCGAAATTGTCACTATGATGACGTCATCAAAATGAAAAAATGGTGGCAAGAGAGCTTGTAGAGAATTGTCTTAGCTACAACATATCAAAATTTGGAAGAAAATCGATCAATATTTACAGAGATACAATCAATTTTCCAAAAATATGCTGACGTCATAATATGCAAATCGTATTTTGAGTTTGAAGGCCATTATGATGTCACGATACACTTAATGGCCAAATGAGACATGAAATCATATTTCCGACTTATACTCATAATTGGGGTCCAGGTGCATCCCTAAGAGCTATAATGGATATTGTATAGGCATGTTTTTGCCCATATATGCTATGTGTTGCAAGAGCTCGCGCACGTGCATTTATCTTGAAATAAAACTATTTTGTGTTAGAAAAGAAGTTTCATATGAATACCGGTAATGAGTTTCAATTAACATTCAAAAAGTGGAGTCTGACAATTTTTGTAATGATTCTAGTTCCCTGTATATTTCCAGATTTGATATTCATGAATGCGTATTCATAATTTATGCAAATTAGCCTATGCATTTTCAAATATCATAAAAATAATCTAACCTCATGAATTTGAGATGAAGGAAACATGTATTCAATACATTTTCAACAATCTTCACAAGTCTACAGACAAATATGTAGAGTTTTCTGTAAAATGCATAAAATCAGCATTTTGCATAATTAATTAGGCTATAACGACAAAAATTTGCATATTAGGAAAAAACTAAAAATACCATCTTGTTCCTTACGTAAATATCTACAAACATGCAAATTTTCGTGTTCATCAGACTTTTGACGGCCGAGATCATGGGGGGGGGGGGGGGGGAGGAGCCTCCCAGACCCCCCCCCCCCCACCCCCAGTCTAGAGGTGCTCAAAATAGCCCAGTACAGTAAGGGTTAAGACTAAGAGATAAATATGGTATCAATTGTTTGAAAAAAATATGGGAAATATCATGAAAGAAAAAAAAATGCGATTCTATGTTGTGTAATGGTGTTACGTGCAAAAACGCACGTGCAAGCGCGTGTGCGCGGTTTTTTAAATGGCCTTAAATGTATGCAAAATAACTTTGAGACGATTAACAGCATTTTAAAAAAGTCGCCCGCGGACATACGCGTACGTTTATTGACCTGAAGTTGACCCGACGGATATTGAACTTCTTCATGATAAATATGAATGAGAAATGACTTTCGGTTATGAAGATATGATCATGAGTTGATTTTCACAAAATGGCGCCTAGATGACGTCATCAGTCAAGGTCATAAAGTCATATGCCTATATAGATGTGTGCCGGATTTCAAGGCGTTTGATTGAGCCATTTTCAAGTTATTTTGTTAACAAACTAGATGTAACTTCAACTGCGCGCAGTTGAAAATGATGCCTCCACCATAGAGCGATTTGACAATAAACCAAAACAAAAGTAATTTTTCAAATTCAGTTTTATTGTAATCCATTAAAGGTACTATGTCCCTTTTGCAGCCAACCTCATATTCTGTAGAAATTTGCAGGAATTATGAATATGTCATGTATGTCCTATCTGTGAAATTTAAACGTTAGCAGTGTCCTCATATTCAAATTATGCAAGGAAACCCGTTTACTTGCTAGACTTCACCGTCAGACACTATTGAGTGACTGACTGGCCTTTTTTCTTCTTTGGTAATAACATACATGAAAAGAGTTGTAAATGGTACATGAGCATTTGTCTACATCAATAACCCACTTCTTGTGATGGCCAAGATTAAACTGATTGAATCTTTGCGCAGCATAAAACGTATGACCATTCGGTACAATTGTCTGAAAATCAAGACTATTACTTTTGGGCTCTGTAGTAATGTGATATTTGCTATGTATATCCATCAGAAACTTGTCTGTATGAATGAACAGTGAAATACTGCCCTCTCCGGCAGAATAAAGTAAGCTTGGCAACGAGCATAATGCTTTTTAATGGCGAATACTTCTAGCTGTATTCCTTCGTATTTATGGACATATAAGATACGACATTTTGGCGACGAGGATGAACAGGTATTGTTATTTATTGATTGAGAAACATAACTTGCTAACTGTTAACTTTTCGATCAGTGATTTTGTGCTACATGTAGCTGCCTAGCTAGCTGTGCCTGATGTGACTGTATGCCTGCTCCTGTGCCTGCTGTGTCGTAGTTGTGCGACGCCTCAGCTAGCCCGTTGATCATTCGCCAGTGCACTGGTTTCTCGTCATCATGGAAAGTGGTAGCCTACCAATGTTCCCATCATTTGACGCTGAATTAGATCGTCCTGATGTTGCTACACGTTGGACGAAGTGGCTGGCCCGCCTTGAGAACTTATTCGTTGCTCTAAATATCACGGACGACAAGCGTAAAAGAGCCCTTCTCCTGCACTATGCTGGGGAGCAGGTACATGACATTTTTTGTGCTGAGTCTTCAAGTCAAGCTAGGCCTGCTGACACCTCCTCCACCTCATCTACCACGTCTACAGTCGGCCCAGACTGTTCCTATGTGGGAACTGTACGTGTTTTGACAACATACTTTGCCCCCAAACGCAATATTCAGATGGAGATGTATGTTTTTCGCTCTTGTAAACAAAAGCCTGGACAGAGCTTAGAGGCTTACGTCACCGAGCTGAGAGCACTTGCCCAAACGTGTAAATTTCATGATTCCAACAGTGAAATTCTCAGCCAGCTCATACAGCACTGTTCTTCTTTACGTTTTCGCAGACGGGCGCTCCGTGAACAAGACAAGAGCCTAAGTGACATTTTGGCCATGGGTAGACTTCTTGAACAATCAGATGCGCAGGCCAAATTGATGGAGGACGGCCCTGCAATCGTTAAGAGTATGCGGCAGGTCTGCAGCAGGTCTATATGAGATATGAATATCTGCAGCAGACTCTTCATCATACTGAAAGAGTATGCGGCAGACCTGCCGCAGACTCTTCATCATACTGAAAGAGTATGCGGCAAGTCTGCGGCAGACCTGCCGCAGACTCTTCATCATACTGAAAGAGTATGCGGCAGGTCTGCAGCAGGTCTATATGAGATATGAATATTCATGATGAAGAGTCTGCGGCAGGTCTGCAGCAGACTCTTCATCATACTGAAAGAGTATGCGGCAGGTCTGCAGCAAGTCTGCGGCAGACCTGCCGCAGACTCTTCATCATACTGAAAGAGTATGCGGCAAGTCTGCAGCAAGTCTGCGGCAGACCTGCCGCAGACTCTTCATCATACTGAAAGAGTATGCGGCAGGTCTGCAGCAAGTCTGCGGCAGACCTGCCGCAGACTCTTCATCATACTGAAAGAGTATGCGGCAGACCTGCCGCAGACTCTTCATCATACTGAAAGAGTATGCGGCAGGTCTGCTGCAGATCTGCGGCAAGTCTGCCGCAGGAGTATGCGGCAGGCTCATTTCTTTCCTATGGGTATGGTTTTCAACACATCTTACCAACAATTTTATCTTGCATTGTTGACATGAATACGAAAATAAATTGCTAAACCAACATTTGCCGATAGATCTTGATCTAAGTTGTGCCAATGCATTGCAAAAGTAAAGGAAGGGACCATTTAACAGAGCTGCCGCAAAGCATCCATCCAAAGTCGCCATTTTGTTCTCCATTTTCATGCAGTTTCGCATTACAACGTACATTGTGGTAGGGGTATATATCGGACACCAAATCTGCCCGCGATCACTTTTTGAGCTAAACTTCCGGTAAATTATAAGAATATTGATGAATTTGGTATCAGTTTGTAAAAAAAAAATCGTGTTTTACGAGAAAATTACGATTATTTTGTTTTGTCCGTTGGTTTTTTTTTCTTTTTTTTATCCTTTTTTTCCCCTCTTTGTAATGTCAAAGTTGGGATGCGGCCTATGCGGCGGTGCGGCCTTATCGCCGGCAAATACGGTATTGCATTTAACATTAACAAGTATTTCAATGGGATGTCAGCAAGCCTGATAAAAACCCGATTTAAATCGCTTTCCCGATTTATTTATTTTTTCCCGATTTTTTCCCGATTTTTTTCTTCTTCCCGATTTAAAAAAAAAAAAAAAAAAAAAAAAAATCCAGATTTTTTTCCCCTTCCCTATTTTATCCTGATTTTCCCGATTCCCCCATTATTTTCTCTATTTTTTCCCCAAATTTTCTTACTTGAAAGGGGGGAATGTTGTTAGATGCCATTTTTTCCCCGCGAATCCTCTTCTTTTTTTTTACTCAAGGGGGGCGTGGTTGAGGGGAAAAACAAAAAACCCATTTTTTTTTTAGTGCTCACTATCACCCCTGGTCAGTGAACTTTTACTGTTGACGGTTTCGTGGAACGATACCCTGATAGTTAATACCTACACTGTATTGAAAAACTGCGTAATTTTTATATGAAATGTTACTTATTATATTCATTCTACTGTGCTTACCCTCTAACATGCAAAAAATCCTGAAAAATTCTCAAACCACAAAGATCTTTATGGTTTTCTTTGAAGGTGTCACTGTGCGACACCCTCTAACAGTAAATTCTCCCAACCATTTTTGAATTTTCCCAACAATTTTTCCATGTAAATAAGACATAAGAAAGGCTTTTAGAAATCTTACAACAATTAAATGTCTTGAATGGTATATAGAGCCAATTCATTGCTTTGTGACGATATACATTCACCTAATATGTAATTTAATTGTAATCATATAGTTGGAAGAATTTAAGGAATCGATCAGATCAGTATTCCCCAATTGTTATCATTAATAATGGTCTGTTTTCACTCAAACTTTCAGATAATCTTTCATTGTACATCTTGCATTGAAGTCCTTACCTTAATTAGCACCATTTTCTCTCATCTGAACAATGTTAACAAGTCCCTTCAATTCTTAACTAATTCTCTTCTTTGTCGGGTACACAAGGGGTTTTAACAAATTTCCCATAAAATCATTCAATAATATGAGGTATAAAATGTGTTTGAAATGCTTCAAAATAAGGATCACATTGCACCAGAGTGCATCTATAAACCCTAGAGCCCAGCCATATTGGACTTCATGCAATGCATGCATCAGTGTACATGCTACTTTCATGTTCCAATTTTACATTTTTTGTTTTGTTTTGTTGACCACCCTGAGCGCCATTGTACAATAGAATTCTCTTCATAACTTCATGATACCTTGATCAGTTGATGGGTCTTGTCCTTCTGTACTTGAGAGGGATTCAAACATGTCTGTGTCAACTTCTTGTTTGATGGTGAAGACCAGACCTGTTAGGAACAAAGTAAAGATATTTTCATATTATCTGAGAAGTAAAATTTGATCTGGTTACCTATTATTGGCGTCAAAGAGAAAAATGAGTTTATAACCAAATAAAATATGATATGCCTATAACTCACAAGAATTGAATGTCAATGTAGCAATTAGGAAACAGAGGGAAAAGAATATTGAAGGACATGTATAGAATAGATTTATTTTCAGTTTTTGAATGGACTTTGCCACCAGGAGTGTGCCCCAAGGATGCATCCTCCCTATTCACAACAAACATTAATATTTTCTGGTTGGCTAAAACAATTAATCGTTTCATTTTCCTTTTAGGGACCATTCAACCCTGATAGCAAACTACCCTCAAAGAAAGCAGATAAAAACAGAGAAGCATAAGGGTGAAAATTCTAACAAAATCGGACAAAAAATAAGAAAGTTATGAATTTTCCAAAGTCGTAAATACTTAACATATAGGCACTCCAAATTGGCTGAATCTGTAAAGTCACTATTACAAACTGCTGGAAAACTTTCCCATTTGTTCCAACGCACAAAATGACTAAAAACATCAATTTTTCAAAAACTATGACTTTTATTTTTCAAGAGCAGTGCCCCCAAAAAGAGGGAGCGCAAGAGCAAAACAAAAATTTATGGTATTTTTGTACACGAAACAACGGGGGAGTTATCTGGGACTACATTGTTTGTCACAATCCACTGACCTCATCGCTAATTTTGAGATTTGCATAGACTTAGTGATATCATATTTTAAACTCTCATAACTTTAATTTTTTTTGAATGATTTTGTTCTAACTTTCACTTAGCATGCGTTCTACAACTACACATTTATTATTTCTTGTATCCGTGTACACGCAGTGACTTGTGTATGAGTGAAAGGGATATGAATCTTATGGGGCATTGCAAGAAAGTTGCAATCAATTGCAAATCCCCCAAATTAAGCGTAAGTCTTGCGATTAATTGCAATGCCCCCATTAGTAAGAGAGAGATAGCATGAGAGTATGTGCATGATTTATACATGTATGTCCGGACGTGTACACGACTACCCAAATACACGCTTTATATGCACAGGCTTGACTTACACCAATCCCCTTATCCAATTTGTTTGCTTTCTCTCAGGGCAATTTGCTATCAATGTTTGATATTCCTTCAAGAACCCTATAGCATACCATCTTGAGTTACAAGCTGACCCTCATCTATCAATGTTTGATGTTCCTTTAAGAACCCTATAGCATACCATCATGAGTTACAAGCTGACCCTCATCTATCAATGTTTGATGTTCCTTTAAGAACCTATAGCATACCGTCTTGAGTTACAAGCTGACCCTCATATCTCAATCCATCTGAACCGGGAATGGAAAGACACGTCTCCTTCTCAACTTCTCCTTCCTCCTTGATGCAGATGTTTCCTGTACATGTAAAAAATAAAAATCATTAAAACTCTTGATCACTACAGACTTATCATTTCTATTTTAATACAGAGTGAAGTAGATGCTTGCATTATTTATGAATATGCATATTGTGTTTTTGAATATTCATGTTTTATGCATAGATTTGTTAATAGAGGTTGGAGCTAATAAACATTCTTGATTCTGAGCTAGTGGACTGAATTGTTTTGAATAAATCTTACTTATTTTTTTCTTCTTCATGCTTTGATGTGTAAGGTGAGAGAATGAAGGTATAACTTGAAGATAAACTTGAGTTCTGGTAAAAAAAAAGAAAATTAATTCTCACAGAATCAAACAAAATTTACACTGAATGTTCAAAATTACAAATAAATTACATGTGCAAAACAATTTTGGAAGAAAATGCGTACTGGCTGAGTAATGAGCATAGAAAGATACCATTTGTGTAGTCCCATATGCATCTTTCTGTGTACAGTGCTTGTTACTTTACCAAGACTGGGCCAAATTTATTATGATTTTGATGACTCAACCTTGCAGTGCGCACCAATACTTACATGCTACATGATCAACTGTTTCTGATCCATTCGATCCACACCTTTTCTCTAACAATGTAATCGCATTACCAGAACTCACCTTAATCTTTAAAGTGTCTCAGTAACATTGTTAAAGGTTGATGAAAAAATTGCGTAAGTTTTACCTTTTATATTCCTTCTACTGTACTTAGCATCAAACATGCAAAAAATCCTGAAAAAATTCTCAAACCACAAACATATTTATGGTTTTCTTTGAAGGTGTCGCTGTGCGACACCCGGCCTCTAACACACATACATTAACTTAAGCTAACATCTAACGCATGCGCATTACGTTCATCTCGTCTCAGCCTCATTTTCCTAAATTGGCGCCTAGCTACATGGGTCCTTCTGATAGAACAAGGTGTCTGAACGATTTTTCAATTTTCTCTTTCGGATCGTGTTTCACCATTATGGTTGGATAATTAAACTAGATGGATGTTTGACTGCGCGCAGTCGAAAATGATGCCTCCGCCATAGAGCAATTTTTCAAATTCAATTTTGATTGTAATCCATTAACAAGTTCACAGAATATCATTTTTACAAGCTATTTTTTGTATACATGTATGACCCTAAAATCTAATCAGTTCGATGGCTCTGCAAGATACATACATGTCCAGAGTTTGATAGTAATCCATTCGTCAGTTCTAATAAGAAGGCGTTCAGAAGCTGTTTTTGCATACATGAGCCCCATGACCTTTGACCTTTGGCCTCATGACCCCAAAATCTACTCAGTTCATTGGCTCTGCAAGATACATACATGTTTTGAGTTTGATGGTAATCTGTCCATCGGTTCTAATGATTGTGATCATAAGCTATTTTTGCATACATAATGAGCCCTGTGACCTTTGACCCCAAAATCTAATCAGATCATTGGCTCTGCAAGATACATCCATGATTAAAGTTTGGCAGGAATCCATCCATCGGTTCTTGAGATAACGCGATCACAAGCTATTTTGAATACATAATAGGCGTGTCTTCGATCACTATCTCGAGATTGCCAAATATCCAGCTATTTGAACTATCCCGATCGCAAACTATCCAGCTAATTTGCGTCTTCACTAGACCGATACGTTCATCACCAACTACCTCGAAAAATAATCTCGAGATTGACGCATGCGCACTTCAGCGACCGACTGTACGACCAGCGTGCCGATTTAAGATTTTACCCGCGCTGTAAAACGTTAACAAGTACAATTTCGCCCTCCCTCCACAAACAAATCAGCAACGAAACATGCTCCTCGGTCCAATGAGACATTGCGAACAGAAAGTATAATGGCGAATTCTAACAGCAAACAGCACAAAAACAAAGACAAAAACAAACTAGACGAGTAAATGTAGAAAATTATGACGAGTCGAATCCCAAAAGTACGGTAGGTAAGCTGAGCTAGCTGAGCGGTATAGATCGCATGTGCGCATGCTAGTAAAACTAGTAAACACGGAAAACAGGAAATCGTTGTGCAATGTGGGATCGGGATATTTGACTCCGTACTTCGGTCTAATGAAGACAGTCGCAAACTATCTCGCTAGTTGGGAAATAGTGGGATATTTTGCAAACTAGACCGAGATATCTTGGGATATTATCCCGACCAACTATCCAGCTATACTTCGGTCTAATGAAGACGCAAATAGCTGGATAGTTGGCATCTCGAGATAGTGAAGACGGGCCTAATGAGCCCTGTGAGCTTTGACCTTTGAACTCGTGACCCCAAAATCTAATCAGTTCATTAGCTCTGCTATATATATACATGATCTAAGTTTGGCAGGAATTCATCAATCGGTTCGTGAGATAACGTGATCACGAGCTATTTTTGCATACATAATGAGCCCTGTGACCTTTGAACTCGTGAACCCAAAATCTAATTAGTTCATTAGCTCTGCTATATATATATACGTGACCTAAGTTTGGCAGGAATACATCAATCGGTTCTTGAGAAAACGTGATCACGAGCTATTTTTGCATAAATAATGAGCCCTGTGACCCCAAAATCTAATCAGTATTTTAGCTCTGCCATGCAGATACATACATGTACATGGTTTAAGTTTGGCAGGAATCCATTCATCGGTTCTTGAGATAACGCGATCACGAGAACGGGATGTACGTACAACCCGGAAACATAATGCCTCCGGCTACTTCGTAACAGAGGCATAAAAAAGTGGGTCGAAATAAGAAAATTCAATAATAAATAATAAATAATAATAAAGGCGATTTTAACAAAATTAATTTCACTCTCTTTAAAATGTGTTTGCTACAGTGTTAATATTTAGACAGAGAAACTTAGACCAACCTCTTGACTTTTTCTTGGCCTTCTTCTGCTTGCACTCCTCATCCTCGCTATCACTCTCCTCTACGATCCGTTTCTTTCTTCCACGACGAGGTCGCATGAAATCCGGGGGACTGTCGACCTGTAGTCCTGCATATAAAAGACATCTTATTTATTATTTTATTCTATTTTTGTATACATGGTAGCCTCTTAAGTACATAACATTGCTTTGCAAGAGAGCCCTGTATTACATACCGGTAATACAATTAAATTACATTGTGAAACAATGGGCAACTGGATGAATAGTAAAAAGTACAATACACAATAAAACAATAAAACAATTTAGAGTGATAATTTAGACTGATAATTATGGAAACAAGTATTATGACTTTCAATCACCATTTACAATCATAGGCGCCGGAAGTGGGGGTGCAGCTGCCCCCCCAATCACAAAAGTGGGGGGGCAAAACGCATTTTTGCCCCCCCAAAATGCCCCCCCCCCTCAAAAAAAAAAAAGCAGTAAAGGAGTAAAGATGGTTCGTATTTTTAACCCAAAAGAACATAACAATAATAAAAACCTGAATTAAATGACGTATGAAATTCCATTCAAAGAAAAGGAAAGTTAACAGGAATTAAATTTCCTAAACATTGCGCATGCTACCTATATTTATCAATGTAGGTTTTTATAATAGCGATACGCGCATATCGTGGACATATTGCGAGAGAATGGGAAGCGTTTCTGTTTTTTGTTATAGGGGTGAGAAGCTTATGAGCCCCTGAACGATGGCGTACTGATGGGGGGGGGGGGATTTTTTTTATTCGATACCAGTGATGTACAAATGTTGCTGAAATGACATGATTTTCCGGTATGTTTTCTCATTTTTCTTGTAAGTCATACCTTTTTATGCGTTTGTTGGAAAATGAGAAATTCCCAAATTTACAGTCGGGCGAAAAATATGCTTACTTAAAAGCATTTATGTTAGGGTCTGCAGAACGGCCGGGCTCGGGGACTCGTGCCACCCTCAATTGTTGAAAAAGTTTGTTACAGAGGAAAAGAAAGAAAGAGAGAGAGAAAAAATAAGTGACCTGCCAATGTCACAAATGAGGTATCTAAATATGCTTATCTGACCATAATTTTAATGCCTAAAACCCCTAAACCTCTGGGGGCTCAGCCCCTTGACCCCCTACCGGGGCCCAGGCCCTGGACCCCACGCCAAAATATGCTCATTTGACCGTAATTAAATGCCTAAAACCCCACCAAGGGCCCTAAGACGGTCCCCTGTATGCTCATCTGACCGTAATTAAATACCTAAAACCCCCGAGCTTCCGGGGGCTCTGCCCCCTGGAATCCCACCAAGGACCCTAAGGCGGGGCCCTGGATGCTAATCTGACCGTAATTAAATGCCTAAAACCCCAGAGCTTACGGGGGCTCTGCCCCCGGACCCACCAAGGGCCCTAAGGCGGTCCCTTGTATGCTCATTTGACTGTTATTAAATACCTAAAACCCCTGAGCTTACAGGGGCTCTGCCCCCTGGACCCCACCAAGGGCCCTAAGGCGGGGCCCTGGATGCTCATCTGACCGTAATTAAATGTCTAAAACCCCAGAGCTTACAGGGGCTCCGCCCCCAGACCCCACCAAGGGCCCTAAGACGGTCCCCTGTATGCTCATCTGACCGTAATTAAATACCTAAAACCCCCGAGCTTCCGGGGGCTCTGCCCCCTGGAATCCCACCAAGGACCCTAAGGCGGGGCCCTGGATGCTAATCTGACCGTAATTAAATGCCTAAAACCCCAGAGCTTACGGGGGCTCTGCCCCCGGACCCACCAAGGGCCCTAAGGCGGTCCCTTGTATGCTCATTTGACTGTTATTAAATACCTAAAACCCCTGAGCTTACAGGGGCTCTGCCCCCTGGACCCCACCAAGGGCCCTAAGGCGGGGCCCTGGATGCTCATCTGACCGTAATTAAATGTCTAAAACCCCAGAGCTTACAGGGGCTCCGCCCCCAGACCCCACCAAGGGCCCTAAGGCGGTCCCCTGTATGCTCATCTGACCGTTATTAAAGACCTAAAACCCCTGAGCTTTCGGGGGCTCTGCCCCCTGGACCCCACCAAGGGCCCTAAGGCGGGCCCTGTATGCTCATCTGACCGTTATTGAATACCTAAAACCCTCGAGCTTCCGGGGGCTCTGCTCCCTGGACTCTCCGTCAATTAGTGGCCTGCCAGTGTCACAAATAAGGTATCTAAATATGCTTATCTGACCATAATTTTAATGCCTAAAACCACTAAACTTCTGGGGGCTCAGCCCCTTGACCCCCTACAGGGGCCGGGCCCAGGCCCTGGACCCCACGCCATTTTACGCTCTACCTAATTGTTAATAATCCACTTTGAAAAACGTTCCGCGGGGCCTGCCCTGCATGTAACGTGTAAGAGTGATGGTGATGCAGATTTTTCTTCTGCCCCCCCCCCCTTCCAAACGTTTTTGCTCGTTACGTCACTGCCCCTGGAAGGTGAGCCCCCTGGAATGTTTGCCCCCCCCAATCCCAAACTGCTTCCGGCGCGCCTGTTTACAATATAGCAATTCTAGATAAAAAGCCGCAAAGGGTTCAATATTCTAAGAAATCTAAGTTTTGAACTTTGATATATTCTTAAAATGTTCTCTCATCATCAAGATGATTTGATGTAAAGTTCAAATCAATAGTTATTTTATAAAAGAAATAAAAAACAAAGTATCTTGGAGCATTTATGAATGGAAGTATATTTGAATGAGCTTTTAAATTAATATTGATTAATTATTAATGATAAACTTGTCAAGTTCAAATTGCATAGTTGTCGATTAAAAGAAAGTTACCACACCTAGAAATAAAAAATTGAAATTGAGGTTTAGATTTTAAATATATAGATTCAAACTCTAGATACATTTTATAGTCCAGTAGACGGTACCATATACCATGTACATGGCCTGGAAAAGTTGAAAAGTACAAGGTTTTTCTGTTGATTTGTGTTCTAGATGGGTATTGAAGTAAATTCAGCTTGGTTGCCAACTTCGCAACCTTGGGCAACTTTTTTAATAGCAATATTAGCATAATCATCTAATTAGCATATGTGCAATATGTAATAATGTTGCTAATCTCAATCCAGGAAGCCTGAAAACATGGATAATACGACTTTTCAAGGGTTTCATAAGACAAGGAATTCATTTATGACACCAATTTTTATTTTTAAGTAATACAATTGTCTTAAATAGCATAATTAGCATAATATATATATGGACTTCATTGTCATTGTTTATCTATAAAGCCTAAAAATGGAGCAATGCAACTACATATACATGTCTTCTCATGAATTAATGATTAATCTTTCAAAAGTGATTTACCATGTTGCATTGCACCATTTTTAAGCTTTATAGATAAACAATGACAATGGAGTCCATATATTGTACATATTATGCTAATTATGATATTTAAGACTATTGTATTACTTAAAAATAAAAATTGGTGTCATAGATGAATTCCTTGTCATAGAGAACATTTGAAAAGTCGTATTATCCATGTTTTCAGGCTTCTTGGATTGAGATTAGCAACATTATTACATATTGCACATATGCTAATTAGATGATGCCAATATGGCTATTAAAAAAGTTGCCCAAGGTTGCCAAGCTGGCAACCAAGCTGAATTTACTTCAATACCCGTCTAGAACACAAATCAACAAAAAAAACTTGTACTGAACAGCTTTTCCGGGTCTGAAAAACTTCTACAGGACTCTTAGGTCCAGTGCTAGATCCAGTCCAACTTTGTTAGATGTAGATCTAGAATTACTGCAGAGCTCATAACAAGGGAGTCAGCTGTAGTCTAGATTTCTTAGACGAAGAGTCTACATGGTAGTACATGGGGCCCATCTGTATTCACTCAAAACAAATCCCACTGCATGCAAAACTCAAAGGCCTGATGTAATGTATTCTTCTACAATTCAAACCCAAGGCTGGGTTTAAGCTTTCGTTTCAAATCGGGTTTAACAATAGAGGTTAGTTTGATGCCTTTGTTTTCCTAATTTAAATGTAATCTTAGACCCGGGATCAGGGTTTAATCAAACCATATCGATTCAAATCAAATCAAATCAACAACAAAAAGGAATTACTAGAATATTGGCCGATGAGACTTTAGATCCTTGTGATCTTGTTTCCGATGGATGACTACATACCAACTTCAAGCATCATCTCATAATTTTCTTTGATGTTCTTGAGACGAAGTTTCTCATAGTCACTGGTCTCTGCCCATTCCTTGGCTGTGAAGTAAGCCTGGCCGGCTGAATAATCATCAGTTGCTGGGAGAGGCATGATGACAATAGGGTGTTACAATGTACCTGTGGGAAGGAAAAGGCGGAAAAGAAGTCTAATAACAGTCTTTTGAGTTAGACCAGGGGGGTGTTTCACAGAACTTGTCATCGGTGACAAATGACAATTTTTGTTGTAAGCTACTGAAATCCTCGCTTCTGATTGGTTATCAGCAGATTTGTCACTGATTTTAGTCATTTGTCATTGAAAAAAGGCTTTGTGAAACAGGACCCAGGGGAGTGTTTCACAAAGACTAAGATCGACTTTAAGTTGGACTTAACTATGGCAGGTCATTCATGCCACTGGTTGCTCTCACCATTATGATCTTTAGATAATAATTTTTCCTTTAATAAAGATATTCAAAAATGTAAATTCTGTATATTTGTGACCTTCATTTATACCGGTAAGTCAGACGAAGAAGGGTCGAAGGCAGGTAGATGCTATTCAATATAAAATAAGCTTAAAACCGCCCGCTCCCTAAAAATGAAATTGACATCACCTTAACTATGAATGTGACCGACACGTCCTGCAGCAAGAAAACTCTGTTAGATACATATTATTGTGAAAAGTTTATCTATTACTTAAAAGCTTCTGCACCTGCTCCCCCCCCCCCCCCCCCCCCAAAAAAAGGATTGCATCTTTCGCAAAGGTTTTTATCACTTCTTTTTCTTCCATCAGTGTCTACTGATCGGGGAATTAAAACGCATCTCCCTTCTCAAAATGCTGGCTACGTCCCTGAATAACAACAATAAAACAAAAACAAAAAATAACCCATGAAAGAAATATTGTCGGTGGAGCAAATTGTCGGCGGAGCAAGTTGTCGGCGGAGCAAATTGTCGGCGGAGCAAATGTCGGCGGAGCAATTGTCGGCGGAGCAATTAATTGTAGGCGGAGTAACTGTCGGCGGAGCAACTGTCGCGGAGCAATTTTTGCGGAGCATTTAAATTGTCACCGGAGTAATCGTCGCCGGAGCATGTGTCGGGTTACTGTTATGACTCTATGCTTTGCTGTAGGCCTAGTGTGCAGTAGACCTATATATGTCGTGCAAACATAGCTGCATTACTATCCTGGCTGTGTATTAAAAGATTCTCAACATTAATTTCAAACACCACTGTACAAAACTCAACTAATTTCACTAAAAATAGGCACTGTGCTCTTTAGTGACACCTAAATAACAGTAAAATACAATTTTTTGAACTTACCGATGTTAAAAAGAATAATTTAAACATTAACATTGTCATTGTAAGTCTAGACTCTGTCAAACTTGCCGATATAGACTCTGTCAAACTTGCCGATCGGCCACATCGTGTTCATAGTTTTTGCGTGCATCTGTGTTTTGTGTAGACCGGCTTTCATCGAAAGGGTGCGGTGCGGTGCGGTGCGGCGCGGTGTGGTGAGTTCAACGCACCCATTCGATAAAAGGCCCCCCGCTTTTCTCGAAAGGGTGCGTTGAGAACGGAGGACCGTGTTAGCACACCCTTTCGAGAAAAGAGGGGGGTCTTTTCTCGAAAGGGTGCGTCGACTGTAGTCTTTCACATCAGTCGTTTAAAATGTTTAGGGAATAGAAATGTGGTTTTATAAATTGAAATAATCAAAATTGAAACTACTTTGTGTGTAGTCTTGCAGATCAGGCATTTATAAGAATTAAATCAGTAAATAAAAAGAAACACAATGAAATAATTAACTTAGATATTTAAAAAATGTCAAATATAGGTGTTTTGCTAGTCTTGCATATCGGTCATTTATTTATTGAAATAAAAAACAATATCCATTTCTTTTTTTGTATGGAATTCAGTTTTTAAATGTTAACTGGTCTTGCATAACTGTCGTTAAACTACAAATAGAAATTAATTGCCATTTTACTTAATCAGGCACACGTTTATGTATTCGTTAAGTCTTGCTGAAAAAATGTAGGGGTGCACATGCTTTTTAACGTGTTTTTTTAAAACATTTTGCCAACACAAATTGAAATTATCTTTTATTGTCTATACCATCTGAAAAATATTTTCACCGGCATATATGCTTCACCCCCCCCCCTCTCTGTCTCTCAGGCGCGGATCCAAGGGGGGGGGGGTGTCGAGAAGGCCTTGTCCCCCCCCCCCCCCCCCCCCCCCCCCCCAGCAAAAAAAAGAGAGAGATAAGGAAAAGAAGGGAAAGGGAAAAAGGAGAGAAAGGGAAAGAAAGAAGAAAAGATAAGGTGGAAGAAGGAGACCAGGGTCGAAAGGGTCTTGCGTCGCAGGCTGTTGCCTCCCCCCCCCCCCCCATAAAAAAAATAAGAGAGAAGGAAGGAAAGGGAAAGAAAAAGGAAAAGAGCAGATAAAGCGAAAGAAAATAGAGGAAGAAGAAAAGAAGGGGGATATCAGTTGCAATTTTCCCGCCAACAAGTTGTGGGTCGGGGGGGGGGGGGGAATGGCACTTGCCTCCCCCGCCGCCCCCGCTAAAAAAAGAGAGAATGAAGGAAAAAGGAAAGAGGAGAGCGAAAAGGGAACAAAAAAGATGGAAGAAGAAAAGAAGGGGAGATCAGTAACGGTTAATCCCGCAAACAACGTGTGGATCGGGGTGAGGGCCGAAAGGCCCTTGCCTCCCCTACCCCCAGCAAACCTAAAAGAGAGAGAAGGAAGGGAAGGGAAAGAGGAGACAAAGGGAAAGAAAAAAAAAGAGAAAGAAGAAAGGTAGAGGTGATCAGTTGCGATTTTCCCGCAAACAAAGTGTAGATCGAGGCCGGGGGGGGGGGGGGGGGGGGGGGGGGGGGGGGGGTGGCACTGGCGTACTGATAGGGGAGGGGAGGGGGGACATGGTATAAATAACATTCAAACGTTGTTCTTTTTATTTCCATAACGGTGATTTACAAATAATGCTGAATTGACCTAATTTCTGAGATTTTTCCTCACTTTTTAGTAAATTATACTTTTTTATGCGTTTGTTGGAAAATGGCAAATTCATAAATTTGCAGTCAGGCAAGAAATATGCTTTTTTGAGTTCCCTACATGTCAGGGCCCGCGACATGGCGGGGATCGGAGAAAGAAGACGATCATTGTACCGTTCTCGACTCTTAATTCTTGTCGGAACTCAGTTCCCCCCTCCTGCACGGTTGTACCGTTCTCGACACTTAATCCTTGATTAAATTCATTTCTCTCCCCCGCCCCCCTCCCGCGCGAAAGCTATGACGTTTCATAGAATTATTAGAGAAAGAAGATAATTCGAGGTACCGTTCTAGGCTCTTAATCCTAGTCTGAATTCAGTTGCCCCCCCCCCTCCCTCCCTCCCGCGCGAAGTGCGGAAGCTTTGAGGTTTCATTAAATTATTATAGAGAAAGAAGACGATTCGTAATACTTGTCTGAATTTCAAAAATGTTCTTTATCTGCTCCTTTTTTTCCCACGTCCTCTTCCTTTTTTCTCCTCTCTTTTTTGTGTTTTGGCCGGGGTTCTGGGGGAACCGCCCCCACCGAGGGGTTTTAGGCATTTGATTACGGTCAGATGAACATACTTTTATACTTTATTTATTTTGTGACAATGGCAGGACAGTAATTGGCGTGAGGTCCAGCGGGCGGAGCCCCAGAAGCTTAGGGGTTTTAGGCATTAAATTACCGTCAGATTAGCATCCAGGGGTCCGCCTTAGTGCCCTAGGCGGGGTCCAGGGGGCAGAGCCCGGAAGCTGAGGGGTTTTAGGCATTTAATCACGGTCAGATGAGCATATTTTGATACCTCATTATTTTGTGACACTGGCAGTTAACTATTCTTACTTACTTGCTCTCTTTCTTCCTATTTCTCTTTTCAAAGTTGGGGGGGGGGGGGGGGGGGGCTCGAGGCTTCCGATCTCCGCCGTTTTGCGAGCCCTGACATGTAGGCAACTCAAAAAAGCATATTTCTTGCCTGACTGCAAATTTTCCAAAAAACGCATGAAAAAGTATAATTTATTAAAAAGTGAGGAAAAATCTCGGAAATTATGTCATTTCAGCATTATTTGTAAATCACCGTCATGGAATTAAACATAAACCACGTTTGAATGTTATTTTCCCCAAGTCCCCCCTCCCTATCAGTACGCCAGTGCCGCCCCCCCCCCCCCCCCCCCCCCCCCCCCCCCCGATCTACACTTTGTTTGCGGGAAAAAATTGCAAATGATCTCCCCTACCTTTCTTCTTTCTCTTTTTTTTTCTTTCCCTTTCTCTACTTTTTCCCTTCCCTTCCTTCTCTCTCTCTTTTAGATTTGCTGGGGGTAGGGGAGGCAAGGGCCTTTCGGCCCCACCCCGATCCACATGTTGTTGGCGGTATTAACCGCAACTGATCTCCCCTTCTGTTTACCCTTTCTTTTCTTCTTTCTCTTTTTTGTTCCTTTTTCGCTCTCTCTTTCCTTTTCCCTTCCTTCTCGCTTTTTTTTAGCGGGGGCGGGGGGGGGGGGGGGGGGGGAGGGAGGCAAGGGCCATTTGCCCCCCTCCCGATCCCGATGTTGTTGGCGGGAAAATTGCAACTGATATCCCCTTCTTTTCTTTCTTCTTCCTCTTTTTTCCTTCCCTTTATCTGCTCTTTACTTTTTTCTTTTCCTTTCCTTCCTTCTTTCTTATTTTTGTATGGGGGGGGGGGGGGGCGGGGAGGCAACAGCATTCGACGCAAGGCCCTTTCGCCCCCTGTCTCCTTCTTCCCTTTTCTTTTCTTCTTCTTTTCCTTTCTCTCCTTTTCCCCTTTCACTTCTTTTCCTTCTCTCTTTTTTGCGGGGGGGGGGGGGGGGGGGAGGGAGGCAAGGCCCGCTCGACCCCTGGATCCGCGCCTGAGAGACAGAGGGGGGGGGGGGGGGGGGGTGGAGCTTTTATAGGATCAGCACACTGAGTGTCACATACCCATGCAAGGAACCATCTCTGTTGAATTCACCATAATACCTTTATTGTTACTACTATTATTGTTTGCTATAGCATTGAAAAGTAATAAATGTGTTGACTTTTATATATCAAACTTTTTTAATTATGTTTTGTCTTTTTAATAAGCATCAATAACGAAGTTTTAGAAAAGTTGAACCGGGTGAAAGTTGTGTGAGTGAATGTTGATTGGGTATGTCTTGTTGCTGTCTTAATTGGATAATAACTGATTATGAAATATGAAGGTGACACATTAATTTGAACTAAAGAAGGGCATATTATGTGAAAGAATGTTACTTTCCTTAAATTTAAATTTGTTTGGATGTGAAAACAACCATTATAGATGGCATATATGCCGGTGAATATATTTTTCAGATGGTATAGACAATAAAAGATAATTTCAATTTGTGTTGGCAAAATGTTTTAAAAAAACACATTAAAAAGCATGTGCACCCCTACATTTTTTCAGCAAGACTTAACGAATACATAAACGTGTGTCTGCATGATTAAGTAAAATGGCAATTATAATTTCTATTTGTAATTTAACGACAGTTATGCAAGACCAGTTAACATTTAAAAACTGAATTCCATACAAAAAAAGAAATGGATATTGTTTTTTATTTCAATAAATAAATGACCGATATGCAAGACTAGCAAAACACCTATATTTGACATTTTTTAAATATCTAAGTTAATTATTTCATTGTGTTTCTTTTTATTTACTGATTTAATTCTTATAAATGCCTGATCTGCAAGACTACACACAAAGTAGTTTCAATTTTGATTATTTCAATTTATAAAACCACATTTCTATTCCTTAAACATTTTAAACGACTGATGTGAAAGACTAGTCGACGCACCCTTTCGAGAAAAGACCCCCCTCTTTTCTCGAAAGGGTGTGCTAACACGGTCCTCCGTTCTCAACGCACCCTTTCGAGAAAAGCGGGGGGCCTTTATCGAATGGGTGCGTTGAACTCACCACACCGCGCCGCACCGCACCCTTTCGATGTAAGCCGTGTAGACCTATGTATTGACTATTCGTGTGTGCAATTGTTTGCAGCGCTGCCTAGTCTAGAGTCTAGATGTCGTGCAGATTTATAGATTAGTTGTACAAGTCTGCATGGTAATTATAGGATCAAATTATGCTTACAGTTACAGAATTCAGATGTTCGAGTTAACTCACCTGAATGAAGAAATAATAGCTATTTGAAGTGATGATGAACGGTGTGGCCGTGTGGAGATTAGCAGTAGTCTCCTCGATCGTCGCGCGCGTGGCATGCGCTATGCATGTTTACTTCGAGAGCCCAGGCAGGGTTCAGGTCAAAGGTCGACCAAAGAGGTGCGAGGGCTGTGATTTGTGAATAATTAATAGCCATTTAATTATCGTTTGTCGAGGTCGGTATTTATCTCTTAACAACATCGATCATCCAGTTGTTAGAGGAAGTTTAGAATGCATGATTTTGGTGGCAAAATGATGGCATTATATGCATCCCCTTTCTCCCACGTACTGCATGAATCGGCGCACCTCTTCTAATTCGTACCCCTTAAGCTCCTATATCTCTTTCCTTATCTTTTCATCGTTATTGTGATTAACCATGAACCCCATCACTTTATCCATCCCAATATGCATTTTCGATTTGAGCGATTTGTTGTGTGATCGGCCAGCAGGTCGGTATTTATTTCTTAACATCATCCAGTTGTTAAGGAAGAGAATCTATATAGCGCTCTTAATACGACTGGATGTTTATAGTTGGGAATGCATGATTTTGGTGGCAGAGATCCCACTGAATCACTTCTAATGCGTATACCCCATCTCTTTCCTCTTATCTTTTCTTATCATCGTTGTTGTGATTAACCATGATCCATCCGAATATGCATTTCGATTTGAGCATTTTTTTTCTTCTTCTTCTGTGTTTAAAAAGTGATGCATGAATTAATTTTCTTTAAAGGGGGGGGGGGAGCCCCTATAGGCTCCGACCCCGCCCAGCCCCATCTATAGCTGATGGGCCTAGCTGCATGGACCCGGATTACAAAGAGTTAATTGCGATTGATCCAAACCAATCGAAGTCCTCCAATCAATCGCAAGTTTGCACCGAGTCTCATATATCTACCGAGTCTCATATATCTACCGAGTCTCATATATATACTGAGTCTCATATATCTACAGATTTGCGATAATCATTGATATCAATAAAATAATCAAATAAGTTGCGATTGATATCAACGCTTTGTAAGACGGGACCCTAGGTCATGCCAGAACATTGATATTACTGAAATGAAAGAAATAACAAAATATTCCATAACAAAATTTATTGATTCGAGATAAAGTAATTTTAGTTTGATAGATGTCGATCGTATCGACTTTGAAAACAGAAAAATATAAAATGGTCCGCCGTCACTTTATTATTCAAGATATGTTTTGTAAAAACAGAATTTTAATTTTAAGATACATGGGACGTGGTTTATATATATATATATATGTGTTATGTAAAAATAATATATTTATATATATATATATATATATTATTTTTACATAACCCCCCCTTGAGCGCCAGGGGGGAGAACCCATCTCCAAAAAAAGGTTAAATTAATGTGTTTTTACAAGTTTTTTCCCCAGGGGGGAGGGGGTAAGCCCCTACCTCCGCCCCCTCCCCCCGTAGATCGATCCACCCGGCTCCCTCACGCTTCCGACTCTTGTGTGCCTCTCAGTCTCTCTCTCTCTCTCTCCCTCCCTCTTCTTCACCCTTCCTTCTTTACTCATGGTCACAAGTTATGTTCTACAATGTCGCTTCTTTTTTCATTTCCAGGAACGCATTATTATAATAATTGAGCCTTTGTTCCAGTGACAAAACAAGCAAACATATTAACTTGATGTTCATCAAATTTAATAAAAGTTGTCTTCAAAAACAACTGGTGAAGATTCAATGAATCTTCAATATGAAAAACAGCACATAACAAACATAAGTTAAACATTTCAATAACCAACACAAATTTGTGGCCGCGTTCTACTATAACATTTCTATTAGATCGAAGTTTTAAACAAATTTTCGGGACGGAAAGCAGTTCAAATAAAAAACAAATCTTTAAATGCGAATAATTCGAAAAGTAGTTTCGAAAAGTCGCTTGCACACTAACGCCGTTCTGCAACCTGGGCGACGCGTTTAACATTTTATTTGTCATAACTCTCTCACATAGTACTATGGATATCTTTATCGACCATTGATAGTGAAAAAAATCAAACCTATCTCCCTCAAACACTATGGATATCTATTTATTGACAAGAAAAAGAAAACGTAATACTGCTACAAGAGAAAACCCAAGCGTACTGCTACAAGAGAAAACCAAGCGTACTGCTACAAGAGAAAACCAAGCGTAAACTGCTACGAGATAAAAACCAAGAGTAAAACTGCTACAAGAGAAAACCAAGCGTAAACTGCTACGAGATAAAAACCCAGAGTAAAACTGCTACAAGAGAAAACCAAGCGTAAACTGCTACGAGATAAAAACCAAGAGTAAAACTGCTACAAGAGAAAACCAAGCGTAAACTGCTACGAGATAAAAACCAAGAGTAAAACTGCTACAAGAGAAAACCAAGGGTAAAACGTCTACAAGAGTAAACCAAGCGTAAATTCTGCTATAAGAGAAATAAATTGAAACACTAACAAGCTTGTTGGTTTCTTGTTAGAATTTTAAGAATGTGCAGCTGTTAATATGCAACATTATCAACATACCAACTTCTTTCAGTCAAATAGTAAATATGTAAGCATACATTATTTGTACTGTACTTTATTGAATAGAACAATTTCTTGAAGGGACTTTGTAACATTGTTCAGTTGAGAGAAGGTAGTGACTTCAATGCTAGATGTACAATTAAAGATAATCTAAAAGTGTGAGTGAAAACCGAACATTATTAATGATAAAATTAGGAAAAAACTAATCTGATCGATTCCTTAATTCTCCCGACTCTATTGTTACAATTTAATTACATTTTAAGTGAATGTAAATCGTCACAAAGCAATGAATTGGCTCTATATACCATTCCAGACATGTAAGTGTTGAAAGTTTTTAAAAGCCTGTCTCGATCATGTCTAAATTTCATGGAACAATGGATGGGAAAATTCAAAGAATGGTTGGGAGAATTTATTGTTAATCACTGTTAGATAGTGTTGCACAATGACGCCTTCAAAGAAAACCATAAATATCTTTGTGGTTTGAGAATTTTCTCCGGATTTTTTGCCTGTTACTGGGTAAGTAAAGTATAAGGAGTAACATTTCATACAAAATGTACACAGTTTTTTAATCAACCCTCAACAATTACCGCGAGTCACTTTAATGTAACCAAGTTAATAATTAAAGATAAGGGTGAGTTCTGGTCATCCGATTGCATTGTGAAAGAAAAGGTGTGGCATGGATCAGAAAAAGTTGATCATGTAGCATGTAAGTATTGGTGTGAATAGCTGTAAAGTTCTGGAGTACGTCATCAAAATCATAATAAATTTGGCCCGGTCTTGGTAAAGTAACAAGCACTGTTCACATAAAGATGTATATGGGACTACTCAAATGGTGTCGGGGCTACTAGCTAACCTTGATTTCCTAATCTTTCTATGCATGCTCATTACTCAGCCAGTATACATTTTCTACCAAAATTGTTTATAAAATGACATTTATTTGTAGTCTTGAACATTCAGTGTAAGTTTCGTTCAATTCTCCATTTTCTTTTTGTTGTTGCAGAACTCACCTTTATCTTTAAAGGTAATACAAAGTTTTGGGAAATTTGAAAATTGGGTGGAAAGTTTACAATTTTGATATATTTGGATGCCCATGTAGATGTATTATAAGCACAAGAAAAATTAGCCCCTAAAACACTTCTCCTTTCGAGAAAAATTGAATATAAAAATTTACCGGTGCTCCCGGTAAGTTTTGATGAATTTCAAATAGCGCCTACGGCCGTATAATGGTAGCTGTGACCATGAAAATCTCAGAATATGTAGTTGTGATATATAATTTCCAAACGGGAATAGCTAATTGGTCGATTTTAGTCATGAGAAAATTGTTTCAGGCTTAATTAATATCTTGACCTTGAGAGGGAGCTATATAACATAAAGATTTCATAACTTTCGACTCGATTTTAACCGCAACAACGATCCCTGAATATTGTAGGATCGCATATGCTTCCAATATGTCCATTTGAACCAAATTCATGACCCCATCCCAAAACTTTGTATAATTACCTTTAAGTGCCTTAATATGAATTATTTCATTCACCCGTTACAAATAATTGTAATTCAGAGGTCAGCATTCAAATTGCATATATTACGTGTTGTCAGGTAGGGCCAGCTATAATTTGTTATCCCAATCCTACCTAGCAACAACTAATGTATGCAATTAGAATTTTGACTATTGAGATACATTTAAACCTGATTTGGTTACACGAATCTCAAGTCCGTACAATTGAGCACATACATACATACCGTAAACAACTGGGTTATTCATATAATCTGAATAAAGTTATATCAATCTATTCAGTATAAATAACCCTACGAGTTTCATTTGAAATATGCAATAACGATATTCATTTTGTTTATAGTCAGAGGTCATTTTTCTTTGTAAATTTCATAACCAGAATTTATTTCAAACTCGTAAAGCAAATTACTGCTTCTAAGTTATTCATTTACATTTGATTTTTTTAACAATTTTAATCAGTAACGTTTCATCCTTTTTCTTCTTCATTGGAAGCCTTCCCATTTTTTCTCGATTGATTCTGCATTTCATTTGCTTTATGGTTGTACTTTACTCAAGTTTATTCAAGATCCTTATTGCTCTGGGAGAATTTTCCTTAACATTTCTTTTTGTGTTTACTTAACTTTGATGAATCACCATATGCCTTACCACATTGATCACATATAAATGGCTTCTCACCCGTATGCATCGTTTATGTTTTTTGAGATCACTAGCTTGATTAAATGCCTTATCACATTGATCACATTCAAAGGGCTTCTCACCTGTATGGATGCATTTATGTGTTGTGAAAACATGTTTTTGATTAAATGCCTTGCCACATTTATCACATACAAAGGGCTTCTCACCTGTATGGATGCATTAATGTATGTGTTGTGAGATTACTTATTTGATTAAATGCCTTACCTCATTGATCCCATACTTGGGGCTTCTAACCGGTATGGATGCGTTTATGTTTTGTGAGATTACCTGCATCGTTAAATGCCTTACCACATTGATCACATACATAGGGCTTCTCACCTGTATGGATGCGTTTATGTGTTGTGAGATTACCTATTTGATTAAATGCCTTACCACATTGATCACATACAAAGGGCTTCTCACCTGTATGGATGCGTTTATGTTTTATGAGATTAGGTTCATGATTAAATGCCTAATTACCACATTGATCACATACATAGGGCTTCTCACCTGTATGGATGCGTTTATGTGTTGTGAGATAGCCAGCTTGATTAAATGCCTGACCACATTGATCACATACATAGGGCTTCTCACCTGTATGGATGCGTTTATGTCTTGTGAGATTACTGGCTTGATTAAATGCCTCACC